AAAAAAAAAGAAGTGATCTGAACAATCTCAGGGGAGGAGCAGATGGTGGAAACACAACCCTCTATACCAGCAGGACCAGCCAGCCCTGTGCCCACCCCACCCTGGAGATAAAAGCCCTCCAGGCTGAATCCGTAGGCTGCAGAAAGGACAGACCGGGGAGAATGAATGGACAGTAGACATGCCCGGGGCCTGGGCCACGGACAGGCAAAATGGGGGGCGGCCCCCGCAGAAGCCCCCCTGAAACCCCTCCCTGTCCCGCTTGCAGGATCGCCGGGGTACAGTGCATGACCGTGCCCGGCTACTCCAAGGGCTTCGGCTACCAGACGGGGCAGAGCTTTTCGGGGGAGTTTGACCACGCCTGGAATGCTGTGTTCCTGGAGGGAAGATGGCACCTGGTAGACAGCACCTGGGGCAGCGGCCTAGTGGACACCACCACCTCCAAATTCACCTTCCTGTGAGTCCAAGTCCCAGCCCTGCGGGGCAGCTGGTGGTGGAGGCGGAAGAGGCCTGAGACCCCAGGTGGGGAGGGCCTGGTGGGAAGGGTAGGAGCCAGGAGACGTGCTCTCCCTCCCAGCTCTGAAGGGAGCCAGCACCAGGCCAGGTGTGAGGACCCAGGCCCTTTTGTCACCTGGCTGATTCCCTCTTCTGGCTCCCTGTCGCTCCTTCCACCAGAAGGCGAAAAGCGTCTAGGGTTTGCCCACGGGCCACGGGAGAGGAAAGACAGGGCTCAGAGACTTCTTTAACTGTCGCCTGGGTCCCTTTAGGCCTTTGGCCCTTGACTGTATCACTATGCCCGGATGCCAGAATGTTCTCTCAGCGCTTAGCCCAGATACCAGGCTCCTTGTCTCTGAGCTGAGTAAGACCATGTCACCTCTCTGAGGAAAGGGCTGTGGTTTTGTGGAAAGGGGTGCTATTGGTGAAGCAGAGTAGCACGGGCCACAGTGAGGCAGGGTGTCTGGGGTGCAGGGGACTGAGCCTTCAGTCCCCCCGGGCTCCAGCCAGGCCTGGCCTACACCGGAGGCCACATACAACATTCTTCGTGGATCCCGTGGCCATGAGCAGTTCACATCCCTTTTTCTTCAGAAAATGAGTGTGCTCTCTGTCTGATTTCACAGCTTCGGTCTTGGCACTCCCACACACGGGACAAACATGAGCCACGTGCACCCACATCCTGCATACACAGCTCCTGCCCTCACAGACACCTCCTTGACCGCCCTTTCTCTGGACACCGCCCTCCCCCCGCCCACCGCCAGGCGGATGAAGCCCCCCCATCTCAGGGCAAGCCTCCCCCTTCATGTCTCAGTCCTGTCACTCCTTCCTGTGAGGCAGTCCTCCCGTCGGCCCCCAAAGCACGCCTGCACAGACCCAGAGACCAGCTGGGGTGGCAGAGGTGGGGAACCCGAGTGTTTGCCACCTGGCTTCCCATGACTCCACCGCTGGGCACCTGGTCCACAGGTCACACCTTTCGAGCCTTCGAATTTCTGTCTTTGAGAGCAGTGGGAGTCCCTCCCCCACCCCCCGGCCACCCCAGGGCCCTGAGATTTCGGGCCACAATTGCAGGCTGTGGATTTCTCTTAGAAGGGGCCTCAGAGCCAGGCTCGGTGGCTCAGCCTGTAATCCCACGCTTTGGAGGCTGAGGTGAGTGGATTGCCTGAGCCCACGGCTTTGAGACCCGCCTGGGCAACTTGGCAAGACCTCATCTCTACAATAAATAAAAAATTCAGCCGGGCGTGGTAACGCACGCCTGTAGTTCCAGCTACTTGGAAGGCTGAGGTGGAAGGATCGCCAGAGCCCAGCAGGTCGAGGCTGCGGTGGCTGGGAGCGGCCATTGCACTCCAGTCTGGGCGACAGAGTGAGACTCCAACTCAAAAAAAAGAAGGGGCCTCAGACCCTGTTTTGGCTCCAGCTTCTGGAAGCATCCACCGAGGAGGCTCCGGTGCCCCTGAGATAGTACCTCTTCCCATTTGGGGTGTCGACAGGACCCCTCCTGGGGATGTGTAAGCTGAAAGAATGGCCCCAAATGCCCACCGCCATGGGCCCGCCTCCCCATGCACTGAGCTGGGTGACACCCTGCTGACCAGCATGTCATCTGCTCCAGCTACAACGAGTTCTACTTCCTCACCCACCCCGCCCTGTTCATCGAGGACCACTTTCCAGACAACAAGAACTGGCAGCTGCTGAAACCTGCTCAGTCTCTGAGGCAGTTCGAGAACAACATGTACCACAAGAGCGAGTTCTACAACAAGGGGATGCTGAGTGCCTACCCGGACATGTCCATGATCAGGACAGGTGAGCTCCAGCAGGCGGCCACGCTGGTGCCGGTGGCAGGGACGCAGCCCACCCGAGACCGCCCCACCAGGGCTTCCAAACGGCCCAGGAGCTGGGCACCAGGCCCACGCAGGCGTGTGGGTGTGCAGGGGCCACGGGGGCCGCCCAGGCATCAGGCATCAGACAGGGCACGGCCACAGAGACAGAAACTCACGCTAGCACACACCATAGAGGGGATATTCCAGAAGGCTGCAGTTTGCCTGCACTGAGGCCAGACACGCAGCCTGGCCTGTCCATAGGGGCAGGACTGGAGGCTCAGAGTAGGGCGAGTCCCTCTCAGCTCGCACAGAAGAAGGATAGCCTCAGCCCTGGACACACAGCCTCCAGCTCAGGTGCCCGGCACAAGCTCCTGGCCTGCTGTGTTCTCCCAGGCTCCTGGCAGAGAGACTCTATGGGCCAGCAGAGCCAGTATCTGCAGCCGGCGAGGGCAGGGTGGGGCAGGCTTCCTTAGGGAGGTGGCCACTGAGGGAGAGAGCAGATGTGACATGTCCCATGCAGAGAGAGTAGAGGAGAGAAGGGGGTACAGCAAGCCCCCAGACTCTAAACTCAAGCATCCCTAGATTAGGCCAAGGACCGATGGCTTGGCCTGGGCTGTCCAGCACCCGCCCCTCCAGGAGGCAGGGCCCAGCCTCTCCCAGCCAGCTTCCCAGGGCCGGGCCATGCAGGATACTGAGCTCGGTGATCTGACTTGGCTTGCCCAGGCTGACATTTGCTCCCCAACCCTGCCTCCGGGAGGGTATGGCGCTGATGTTTGCACACTCAGGCATGTGGGGGGCCAGCCTGGGGGCCTAGAACTGTGGTCATGAGAAAGCAGGTTTCCTTGAGAAAACCGTCACTCAGCCGGGCTCGGTGGCTCGGCCTGTCATCCCAGCACTTTAGGAGGCTGAGGTGAGTGGATTGCCTAAGCCCACAGGTTCGAAACCTGCCTGGGCAATTTGGCCAGGCCTCGTCCCTACAATAAATCAAAAATTAGCTGGACATGGTAGCGCGTGCCTGTAGTTCCGGCTACTTGGAAGGCTGAGGCAGAAGGAACGCCGGAGCCCAGCAGGTCGAGGCTGC